TGATGCAGCTTGCAAATAACAATTTTTCTCCTCTCTCTCTTTCAATTCAATTATCGAAAATTATGCCAGCAAATATTTATCTTTATATCCTTATTTGATATTCACTTTTTCGTTCATAAATTTGATATTTTGTAATATTTATTTTGTATTGTAATTTTAAATAATAACAGCAATAATTATTCTTTTATAAAATTCTGTGTGTTTTAATCGATTTAAACTTTTTCTGTAAGTATTAACAATTTGTATGAATATACACAAATTGTTAATACTTACAGAAAGAAAAGAAAAAATTTAGAACCATTTTTTCCGCAAATAGTTAGCCGAAAGTTTGGTTTAATGAGCCAGTGAGTATAAATTATTCAATATAGCCTACATTATACTAATTTTTTTCATATTTGTACAATATAACATTTAAATACATTCTGCATATATTTTTAAAATACTGGTACTAAATACTGGTAAAATACTGGATTTAACGACTTTCGGCAACAGCTGACACACCCCCAATTAGTTGCCCATCAGTCGCCGAATGGATAAAATTATTGACCACTGAAAGTTAGTCCCGGTGTAACAATTTCAGGTTAGCCCACTTCACTCTAACTCGATAACTTAAAATCACGTTCAGATTACCAGGAAGCAAAATGAAATCGATTTAAAATTACCCTTTGGGTACCTTGAATTGGACATTGACTTTGGGGTTTATCCTGCAATTAGCGAGGGCTGATTTCAAATTATCTCCTCAAAAAACCTAAGTTTTGTTTATTTCATCAGAATAAAAAATGGAGCAGTAATGTAACATTCCAATCAATTAGCCCCTCGTTACTTGCAGTCTAAACCCCGACGGCAATGTCAGTTCCGCTCTGTCAGCCCGATTCTGACTGAAACTCAAAAGAAAATCATTGTCTATTAAGGATAATATTTATTTTGGGTAATATCAGTTTGTTTCATATTGTCTTCTAGTATTATAGAGCAGGGCTTCTTAAACTATGGGTTGCGACCCCATTTGGGGTCACTTAGTGAAATCTTGGGGTCGCGAGATTTTAATGCAAAATTTTGAAAATAATTTGTGAGAGTTTGAAAATGAGTTTGAAAGTGAGGCATGCTTTGTGTCATAAATTTCGTGAGTTGCAGTGAGGCATGCTTTGTGTCATAAATTTCGTGAGTTGCAGTGAGGCATGCTTTGTGTCATAAATTTCGTGAGTTGCAGTGAGGCATGCTTTGTGTCATAAATTTCGTGAGTTGCAGTGAGGCATGCTTTGTGTCATAAATTTCGTGAGTTGCAGTGAGGCATGCTTTGTGTCATAAATTTCGTGAGTTGCAGTGAGGCATGCTTTGTGTCATAAATTTCGTGAGTTGCAGTGAGGCATGCTTTGTGTCATAAATTTCGTGAGTTGCAGTGAGGCATGCTTTGTGTCATAAATTTCGTGAGTTGCAGTGAGGCATGCTTTGTGTCATAAATTTCGTGAGTTGCAGTGAGGCATGCTTTGTGTCATAAATTTCGTGAGTTGCAGTGAGGCATGCTTTGTGTCATAAATTTCGTGAGTTGCAGTGAGGCATGCTTTGTGTCATAAATTTCGTGAGTTGCAGTGAGGCATGCTTTGTGTCATAAATTTCGTGAGTTGCAGTGAGGCATGCTTTGTGTCATAAATTTCGTGAGTTGCAGTGAGGCATGCTTTGTGTCATAAATTTCGTGAGTTGCAGTGAGGCATGCTTTGTGTCATAAATTTCGTGAGTTGCAGTGAGGCATGCTTTGTGTCATAAATTTCGTGAGTTGCAGTGAGGCATGCTTTGTGTCATAAATTTCGTGAGTTGCAGTGAGGCATGCTTTGTGTCATAAATTTCGTGAGTTGCAGTGAGGCATGCTTTGTGTCATAAATTTCGTGAGTTGCAGTGAGGCATGCTTTGTGTCATAAATTTCGTGAGTTGCAGTGAGGCATGCTTTGTGTCATAAATTTCGTGAGTTGCAGTGAGGCATGCTTTGTGTCATAAATTTCGTGAGTTGCAGTGAGGCATGCTTTGTGTCATAAATTTCGTGAGTTGCAGTGAGGCATGCTTTGTGTCATAAATTTCGTGAGTTGCAGTGAGGCATGCTTTGTGTCATAAATTTCGTGAGTTGCAGTGAGGCATGCTTTGTGTCATAAATTTCGTGAGTTGCAGTGAGGCATGCTTTGTGTCATAAATTTCGTGAGTTGCAGTGAGGCATGCTTTGTGTCATAAATTTCGTGAGTTGCAGTGAGGCATGCTTTGTGTCATAAATTTCGTGAGTTGCAGTGAGGCATGCTTTGTGTCATAAATTTCGTGAGTTGCAGTGAGGCATGCTTTGTGTCATAAATTTCGTGAGTTGCAGTGAGGCATGCTTTGTGTCATAAATTTCGTGAGTTGCAGTGAGGCATGCTTTGTGTCATAAATTTCGTGAGTTGCAGTGAGGCATGCTTTGTGTCATAAATTTCGTGAGTTGCAGTGAGGCATGCTTTGTGTCATAAATTTCGTGAGTTGCAGTGAGGCATGCTTTGTGTCATAAATTTCGTGAGTTGCAGTGAGGCATGCTTTGTGTCATAAATTTCGTGAGTTGCAGTGAGGCATGCTTTGTGTCATAAATTTCGTGAGTTGCAGTGAGGCATGCTTTGTGTCATAAATTTCGTGAGTTGCAGTGAGGCATGCTTTGTGTCATAAATTTCGTGAGTTGCAGTGAGGCATGCTTTGTGTCATAAATTTCGTGAGTTGCAGTGAGGCATGCTTTGTGTCATAAATTTCGTGAGTTGCAGTGAGGCATGCTTTGTGTCATAAATTTCGTGAGTTGCAGTGAGGCATGCTTTGTGTCATAAATTTCGTGAGTTGCAGTGAGGCATGCTTTGTGTCATAAATTTCGTGAGTTGCAGTGAGGCATGCTTTGTGTCATAAATTTCGTGAGTTGCAGTGAGGCATGCTTTGTGTCATAAATTTCGTGAGTTGCAGTGAGGCATGCTTTGTGTCATAAATTTCGTGAGTTGCAGTGAGGCATGCTTTGTGTCATAAATTTCGTGAGTTGCAGTGAGGCATGCTTTGTGTCATAAATTTCGTGAGTTGCAGTGAGGCATGCTTTGTGTCATAAATTTCGTGAGTTGCAGTGAGGCATGCTTTGTGTCATAAATTTCGTGAGTTGCAGTGAGGCATGCTTTGTGTCATAAATTTCGTGAGTTGCAGTGAGGCATGCTTTGTGTCATAAATTTCGTGAGTTGCAGTGAGGCATGCTTTGTGTCATAAATTTCGTGAGTTGCAGTGAGGCATGCTTTGTGTCATAAATTTCGTGAGTTGCAGTGAGGCATGCTTTGTGTCATAAATTTCGTGAGTTGCAGTGAGGCATGCTTTGTGTCATAAATTTCGTGAGTTGCAGTGAGGCATGCTTTGTGTCATAAATTTCGTGAGTTGCAGTGAGGCATGCTTTGTGTCATAAATTTCGTGAGTTGCAGTGAGGCATGCTTTGTGTCATAAATTTCGTGAGTTGCAGTGAGGCATGCTTTGTGTCATAAATTTCGTGAGTTGCAGTGAGGCATGCTTTGTGTCATAAATTTCGTGAGTTGCAGTGAGGCATGCTTTGTGTCATAAATTTCGTGAGTTGCAGTGAGGCATGCTTTGTGTCATAAATTTCGTGAGTTGCAGTGAGGCATGCTTTGTGTCATAAATTTCGTGAGTTGCAGTGAGGCATGCTTTGTGTCATAAATTTCGTGAGTTGCAGTGAGGCATGCTTTGTGTCATAAATTTCGTGAGTTGCAGTGAGGCATGCTTTGTGTCATAAATTTCGTGAGTTGCAGTGAGGCATGCTTTGTGTCATAAATTTCGTGAGTTGCAGTGAGGCATGCTTTGTGTCATAAATTTCGTGAGTTGCAGTGAGGCATGCTTTGTGTCATAAATTTCGTGAGTTGCAGTGAGGCATGCTTTGTGTCATAAATTTCGTGAGTTGCAGTGAGGCATGCTTTGTGTCATAAATTTCGTGAGTTGCAGTGAGGCATGCTTTGTGTCATAAATTTCGTGAGTTGCAGTGAGGCATGCTTTGTGTCATAAATTTCGTGAGTTGCAGTGAGGCATGCTTTGTGTCATAAATTTCGTGAGTTGCAGTGAGGCATGCTTTGTGTCATAAATTTCGTGAGTTGCAGTGAGGCATGCTTTGTGTCATAAATTTCGTGAGTTGCAGTGAGGCATGCTTTGTGTCATAAATTTCGTGAGTTGCAGTGAGGCATGCTTTGTGTCATAAATTTCGTGAGTTGCAGTGAGGCATGCTTTGTGTCATAAATTTCGTGAGTTGCAGTGAGGCATGCTTTGTGTCATAAATTTCGTGAGTTGCAGTGAGGCATGCTTTGTGTCATAAATTTCGTGAGTTGCAGTGAGGCATGCTTTGTGTCATAAATTTCGTGAGTTGCAGTGAGGCATGCTTTGTGTCATAAATTTCGTGAGTTGCAGTGAGGCATGCTTTGTGTCATAAATTTCGTGAGTTGCAGTGAGGCATGCTTTGTGTCATAAATTTCGTGAGTTGCAGTGAGGCATGCTTTGTGTCATAAATTTCGTGAGTTGCAGTGAGGCATGCTTTGTGTCATAAATTTCGTGAGTTGCAGTGAGGCATGCTTTGTGTCATAAATTTCGTGAGTTGCAGTGAGGCATGCTTTGTGTCATAAATTTCGTGAGTTGCAGTGAGGCATGCTTTGGGTCACTTCTGGTGCAGCGAGACAATGATTCAGCAACACTGATTGTAGTGTGAACTAGTGTAGTGTTGTCACTTTTCAGTGTATTCAGTTGTCTCTGTTCCATTGTAACACAAGAGTGAACTGTGGTAGCACACCATTATTGTTTTTGTAAATTTGTATATATCTTTATTTTATATTTTTNTTCAAGTCAGTTCATAGCGATTTTCCGAAGTGGTTAGGATTTAAATTCTGGGTCAAGTGCACAATTAAAGAGAAGAATTTGCACACAATAGGAATTAAGTCATGGAGTTAATATGAATAAATTAACGAATTAAAACTAAATAAAAATATTCGTATTTAACAGACAAATTCCGTACAAAACATTCTAACCTTGATATAAGATCCATTTTCATCATCATAACCACAGTTTTGCGGACTACCTTCCTTGCCTTCGATCTTAATTGTTTCTAGTCCTAGATACCATATTTCTGGATATTGCTTCACTTCCGCTCTCTCGAAAGCATTTAAACGATTTGAATAATACTTTAGCACATCTGTATTAAGAAAAGTACGGCTTAGGCAATGAGATTTACTAAATATTTTCATAGGATGCATTTGCTTACCATTTGGCATCAGAGGAAGCTTCCTGCCGTAAGGGTCTTGATGATGGAAGTTTCGAGGAGTTGAACTTTTACTGTTTTGCTGCGGGCTGCCAGTTGCAGGCGAAACACATTCGGGAGTGGCCGAAGAATGATCACTACCTACGTTATAGCTGCTACGACTGCTACTGCCCAGCACCGGCAATGAGGTTATAACAGTTAACGTCCCCGAAACTTTATCCCCCGAACTGGAGGCGCTAGCTTTAGAGGAAGGTAATCTTTGAACGGAAATGCTAGGTAAACTAGTCGACTTGTCCAAACGAGAAAGTACATTATGACGGGACAGCCGTTGTGTTAATGAAGCGAGTGCCGCTACCGGACGAGATTTACTAACTTGAAATTGTTTGACGATGGCCCGGCCCAATTTAGCCATTGGATCGCGATGAGGCAGACTGACATGATCCTGAAAAAAAAAATATATCATCATTATATTTTGCGTTGTCTTGTCCCATTTTAATAAATGTATTTGACTTTTTAATTCACGAATGAATTATGCATAACCAAATACTAAACTTTGAATATTTTTTAGTTTAATAAAAAAAATCTAGAAGTTTAATATTTGGTTATATGTATGTATACTACAAACAATTTACAGACTATCACAATAAGTCTGATGTATCAAATTATTTTCGGAATTTGGTTTTGAAGTCTGAAAATCTGAGTATTCACTTTTACCGTAAAGAAAAAAAAAACAAACATAATAAATTAATCTATAAATAAAATATATAGAAAGTAGCATTTTTCCATCTTGAATAATACCGGAAAATATTAATGAAATGACCAGATAACCATCATTAAGGATATCAATGAGCTAATTGAAGAATCAAATTTTCATCGTTATTCAGTTTAAAAACATTATTCCTTTTGTTCTAATTGTTTATAGGTCATAGACATAAAATTACTGAAAGAAATTATAAAGTATAAATATAAAGAGTTTAAAGAAATTTAACAAAACTTATAGTAAAGGGCCTAATCAAATAAACAAGTGAAAAGTGCCCTAAACTAAACTGAATTTTTTATTTAGTATATTTGTTTTGGAGTTAAATCATAGTATATCAATTTTCAAATCTTAATCTTTTCGTTTCATAGAAATCGAAAAAAAACGTGATTTTCAGTCTTTGTACATTTTTCGTTTGTAATAATTTCATTTTTTATAAAGCTAAATTAAATTTTTATTAATTTTAAAAGTAATTTCTTTTGTTTTCAATTTCTATTTAACATTCACTTTTTTTTTTCCTTTGGTTTCTTAACTTGTACAAATTCCGAGAATGATTAATTTCGACAATATGATTTCATTTTATAAAATTTTCTCAAGTGAAGTGTATTTCACAAAAACAGAGTATCAAATTTTCATATCCTGAACGTATAAAACGAAATAAATCCAGCACTGCAATAGGATTCAGACAGCAGCAAGTTTCACGATTACAAAGAATTTAATAGATTTTGTTTTATAGGCAATGATGACTTTTATTAGTGATACTATGCATAATTCTATAAATTTCTTTTTAATTTACGGGAAACGGATAAACTACATACTCATTCATCTTCATTCATATTCTCAATACCTTAATACCTTGAGTAATACGTAAAAAAATTTAAAATATTAAAAATAAATTAATAATATAGAAATTATCGTATTTAGATGCGACTTTTATCCAAAAGAAAGCTCGAAAATTGCTGTCTTGTAAGTGAAGTTGTGATCTGTCATAGGTTGAACTTCCCAAACAGTCTTCCATAGGCTACAGAAAACCTCTACCTAGCCCAACTCCTGAATAAAGATGTTATTATATTAAACATATTATTATTAGCTACAGATAAGCAGCTTTTGCGTGTATTCATGTACAGTATTTTAATGGTAAATTTCATTAGTAAATGACTTATTTTTCTCTGATAAATAAGAATGTGCATTTTAATTTTACTTACTTGGTACTTTACAGTAAAAAATAATTTTTGGGGCAGAATACCAAAGGCGCGTGATTGCTTAAATTCACTAAATACTTTTACCTAAATACTGTGCTGAAATGGGAGTGCGTCATATATGACATAAAATACGGTAATTAAATACTATATTTTAAATAAAAAGAAATAATTCATTCAAAACAACCCAAAATTTTAAATTTTCTTTAGAATATAAACTATAATTTACATACGCTTCAATAACGTATAAAACACATGAACTTCTTCAAATGATTAATTAATTGGTCATGGATTCGCTCCCGACCGACAGGTTAACCAATGGAGTTTTTCGGAGTTTTTTTTTTACATATATAACACCTAAATAGGAGTCAGTTTCTCACAGAAGATCCTACCGGAAATTATCCCCTTTGCAAATCGCCCATAAGTTGTCGCCGTATCCGCTTTTGGTGGACGATGATTCATTAAATGATTGAAAATACTTTTATGTAGACGACATTGTCTTTGTCATTCCTTAGAACCTTAGTTCGCATTACAACAAAGTCGTGTAAAAGACAATTAATTATTCGGCCAATTATTATGTAATGTATCAGTGACCGATTTCATCCAATTATATCTTTCATTATATAATTTGGGAATATTTTCTTTAACTGCATCATCAATGTAAAAGTAGATGCAAAAAAAAACAACGAGAAAATCAAATTTTTTTTGTTTCTTAATTAATTTCTTTTAAGCTATCCAGAAACTGCTAATATCGTATTTGAAATTTCGGAATCAGTATAGTCTTTAGTAGATTACTGTAAATTAGGATTTAACAATGCTAATCAGTTTTGTCAAATTAATGTCAAATTAATTAATGTTAAAATAAATTAAAGTTGAATTAACTTTTAAATTAAAAGCAATGTTCATTCAATTAATGCTAAAATAATTTATTATTAATTAACGAATAACTAATGTTTTAATTCAATGAAGAAAGTAATATAAAAATATTCTGGTTTAAATTAAACGTCATTTTTATTATATAACTTTATTTTTTAAATTAAAAAAAATCTTTTCTATCAGCAGTCAATAAAACCTGAAATGACGATCCTAAAGTCGTCATTAAAAAGATGATAAAAATTTCATTCTAAGTTTTAATTAACAGTTGAAAAATATTTTATTCTTATTTTATAAGCAAATAAAGTCCATAAATCTAACGCCTAATAGGAAATGGAATTTTTTTTATAATCAATTAAAACTTTAATGCTATTTATATTGTGTAATTTACAAAGAAAAGTTTAGCATAAACTCGAACATTAAAATAAGTGAAATAATACATGCAAAATGAATAAAGGAAAACCTCTTTGTAAATATAATACCGCTTTAATAATAACGATCGAAAACGCCTTTTTTTTCATCAGAGCCCACCAGTAGCCGAATAGACAAAATCACTGAACAGTGAGTGGTCCGAGTCTGATCCCCGGAAGGTGGGGATCAGACTTCGAATCACTCCCCACGTGGGGTTTTCTGGATTTTCTTCACGTGTCTAACATCCAAATAGAGACTATTTTCCCAAAGAAAGTCCTCCTTGTGGCACCCTTTTGGTAGATCATCCAGTTATTGTATTGCATATCCCATCAATCCAATTCAATTCTTTTTTCACAAATTTCTTTATACATTTGAAATGGCGTTGTTTACATTAGACTTGTTGTTATTATTTGATGTGTCATATTGATTTTTGTTGAAATACAATGTGAAATCTAAACCCAACAGAATATTCTACTTTGTATTAAAATTTCAATAATAATGTGACTCAAAACAGAAACTCTATGATTGCAATAAGCAGAACAATCTCTAACATACTTCATCTTCATAACTGGTCATTAGCTTCATTCTAGAGTTTCAACAACAAAATTGAGCTTGTTCTTGATTATTATAGAATTATGAACAAGTTGCATTGTTCTACGGAAACTATTAGAATTATCAAATTGCAATATGCTTCTTTAAAATATGCTTTAATAATTAATTACATTTATTTTGATAATTTCAAAACTAAAATATGTTTAATTCTCTCTTCAAAAGCTTATGGAAACAATAATTGATTCTCCATTTGAACAATATTTCTTTGAGCTAATATTCAAATGACGCCAATAGCACTTTTGATCCATCCACATTGAGTTTTGTAATCGCAAAGCACAATAATTTTTATTTATTTTTTTCTCTTGTTGCCTTCATAAAATTTAATTGTTGTGTTAAATCCAGTTCTTAATGAAGAACTTTTCCCTCGTTACATGTAATTAATTAACAATAATGTAATTAATAAAATAATGCGACGTTATGTATTCTCGTGTTGTGGTGTTATTGCATTACAGTTAAGAGATCGAGGATATGCGTTACGTAATTTTTTGATGAGTATGTGCGGCAGCATTACGAAGAGTTACAGGGGTAATTGAAAACATAAAAAACGTCACGTAATGCATGGACGATCACTACATCAAACTATGAAAATAAATTTCCACAAAATAAAAATAAAATTTACTTGATAAACTTTTCAAATCAGCAAAAACTACGCAAATTACTATAATTAATATCTTACATATTTGAATTAATAATAAATAACAGATTTTGTTTTATTATTATTTTGTTTAACAGACAATTTTTCATTTTTTTGCTTCTTATTTTATATTTCATTCAATTTTAAAATATTCTAAAACATACAAAGAGCTCATAATAAACTTTCAGTTTAATATTTTTATGTTTATGAATATCTGTGCTGTTTGTATTTATGGAATATATCTACGTAGCGAGATAAAATAAGTGAAATAATGAAAAATGTATATTATATCGAACAAAATAAGTAGTAAATCACATATACAAGATTAAACTTACTTTTTATGATCATAAAAAACTCTTTCGGTTATTTTCAATCTAATGTTTAGTATTAGTTTTACAAAAATTTTGTATTGCTACACAGAACTATGCAAATTTCAAGATATTATAATTTCAATGTACAGTATTATGTAAATATAATTATAGATCAAAATAAATAAATAGTCATGAACAGATCTGGAAAATTTCTAATACAGCTATTAATTTAAACATTTGAAAATTAAATATTCACATAAAGTCAAACCTCCGAACGGACTCTGATGGGAACACAAAAAATGACTGTTGTTTGGGCTCACCAGTAGGCAAGCGGTTCCCTTTCCTGAACACTGGGAGTTCGATCGTGGGTTCGCGCATCACTCGGACGGGCCGGGTTTTCTCCACGTTTGTAACGCCTGAACTTGGGACCAGTTGCCCTTAATAAACATCTCCGGAAGGTATTATTCCCGCGCGTTACGTCCACCGTAATAAACGTATCCAATTACTAATACTAGCCAAAGAGCTTACACATTCCACGGGGCGAAATAGCCAGAGAAGCTCATGCCAAACTTGTTACTAAACAAACACTGTTTTTTTGGAGGTTTGACTATACTGAAATTTATTATGCTGGATATAAAAAAATCACATCTTATGATTTTTTTATTTAATATGGATTTAATATTGATTCAGGATCAAGTTAAACATTTACATAATCCTCTCAGAAATTTTTGATTAAAATTACATATTAAAATTAATTTTTAAGATGGCTGTCATCGTCTCCCCTTGAATTAATTATATATAAAAAATTTTTAACAATAAAATAATCAGTTTGGAATGATATGTAACTAATTTTTGATACCGGTATTTTTATCAACATTAAAATCTATTCTGTCGAGCGCCTGAAACTTCATCCTAAAGGTCCTAAAGTGAGAAATCTAAGAATTATTCCTTATTTCAATATTGCATTATAAATATTAATATAAATATTTTTTAAAATAATCTATTATATATCTTTCTTGCAACAATGTCTAGTATAACGTATATTGCGAAATCTATTATAAATAGTAAACAAGGATATATAGCAGCATCATGCAAATTGCTGGTCGATGAAGTTCCACGAATATGAACAATAGATACGTCTAGCATTAACGGCTGTTTATTTCAGGTTTAATGACTATTATATGTTTATGAAATATTGAATAATTGGCATTTTATCATTAGTTATTTTTCATCTTAATTGTTTCTCGACGAGACAATGAGAAAACTGTTAGTATCAGCAATACGTCAAGAAATTAAATAATTAGATTTAAAATTTCAGCAATAAGTTGCTTAACTTTCCTGGTAACATTGAAAATTGCGTGTGTGGTGCCATCTGTTGTGATATTTTAATTAAAAATATAAAAAGTTTTTAAAAATATTATAAAATGGCAAAACGCTTCATTTTGAGGATAAAGATGGGTTTTATAAAAAATTGTAAATGCTAATAACGAATAAAATCATCATTAAGTCTGACCCTACTCGAGATACGACACATAAACCTCCTCAATCCCCCACCACCTAGACCTTTAACCACCAAAATTTATAGCATCAATCTCCCTAATATACAAACCTCCCTGCAAAATTTCAGAAATTTTCAACAAAAAGCACAGGAGTTATTAATCTTCGAACAGGGTGAACAAAATCGTGTCCCCCAAACACTAACATCCATACATAAAATAAAATTCGGGATTTTATTCTATATTTTATTTATTTATATATCGCATTTCTCAACATTTCAAGGTCCCCGAGTCCAAAAAATTAAAAAATCTCGGAGAGTCTTTTCTGACCGATCGCCATACTTTCCCTCTTATATATAACAGAGCCGGAAAAGTAACAATAACAAACTGCATAGGGTGTTAAAAAAGTATTCAGTATTTATAAAGCACAAATTATACTGAGTAAAGAAACCTTAGTTAATCTAGATCGAAAACTGCGATATTTTCCACTAACTAATTAAATAAAAATGTATTGCTGTAATTATTTTTTTCCGAGCTTTGCCCTGGAAATTTTTCTCCGTGAGGATGACTGATAAAAGCAGCCGAAAACGTTCGTTTCATTAAAAACTATCTGCTGGATTAAAAGAATTTTGTGAGTATTTTTCTGTGTGTTTTCCTTACATTTGCAAGCGCTTAGCATCATCATCATGTAAGATGATATTGGCAAGCGTGCTGAAACTCTCAAAAAGTGTGGCAAACTCTCAAAAAATTCTGTCTTTGTCGGATTATTTATCTCAGAAACGGTTGAGTTTTCGTCTTACGTTTACGAAGGTTTCTTACTCGGTATAGTGTTCACTATCATATAAATGCCAAATACTTTATCTTTAACGTTTTGTATAGCAAGTTTATTCCTCTATCATCTTTGACAGAATTGGTCTTTTTTTAATCTAGGGGCTATTCTTAGCAATAAAAATACTTAATTTTTAGAAAAAGCATAATATAAAAAAAATAGATTAACATTAGCGTTTTAATTTTAAACAATTTTCTTAAAATTATAAAAAAAAATCTTCCTTTCGAAACANACACAAGAGTGAACTGTGGTAGCACACCATTATTGTTTTTGTAAATTTGTATATATCTTTATATTTTTGGGTCGTGAAAAAAATCACAATCATAAATGGGGTCGTGAATAAAAAAAGTTTAAGAAGCCCTGTTATAGAGCATATAAACACGATTAAGATGACCTACCTTTAAAACCTAGGACACCGAAATTGAGATTTTTACTATGGCAACAATCTTTATCAATCGGATTTATTTATACGGTAAATATGGAAATGACAATCAATGGTTGGTGCATAAATTACTATTTGAATGATATTCTTGCTAACAAAGAAAATGATCACCACTTTGAGTCTGTAATTTAAGCTTTTATTATTGAGTTATCCTTTTGTTGAGTTAAATAATGAACTGTAGTTTTAATTAAAAACTAAGCTGCAATTCTGTATCCCTAATGAATATTTACTCTTGTAATTATTGTATTCTTCCCCTAAATTTTTCCAATTAGGTTGATTCTTTGTATATCATATTTTTGTATATAATATCTCATGCACTGCAAACTAGTGCATGCAATTAACATTTCTTGTGACTCTTATTTTTCAAGTATTGAGACTAACTTTCAATATTCAATATTCACGTGTTTTATTTAATAAACATATCATGAGTTTTAAGCATAAAAGTTTATCATTTTAGCTAAAGCAAGGGTTGGTAATATGAACAGTGAAGGGGTTCGGGCTATTCTTCAGGGTAAATTGAAATCGATTTTCGGATTATCAGGTATAACACTTAAATAGGGGCCAGTTTCCCATTGAATGTCTTCTCTGGAGGCACTAGCCCTTCGAAGAACGTCCATTGTTTTATTCCATCATCACTCTAATTAGTCTGTTAAACTGGTGGTCAACTCTATATATAAATACCAAAACACATATCTCTGTGAGTTAAAAATAAAATACAGTAAATCTGGATATAGTACCTCCATAAATAGCGGCACCCTCGTAAAACGCCAACGAATACTCCTAAACTGATCTCTTTAAATATTAAATAGCTCTTCAATATCTGAATTACTAAATGTACGATTTTGAATTGCAAGCGATATAATCATAAAATCATGTGATTTTAAAACTTAATTTGTACTTATACTTCATTAAATTATTAATATAATTATATATTTCTTGAGGCACTTCAGTTTATTTCCAATTCAAGTTAGTACCAATTTTCAGAGGCGAGTAAGTCGAGATGCAAAGTTGGTTTGACTGTAGGTTGAAAAAATTTTAAAAAGTTATTCTGATATTTAAATACCAACTTTTCAATAATGAGAAGGCAATCTGCTAAATTATTAAAATAGAGAAAAAAAAACAAACAAAATGTATGTAAACAACGAGAAAAGCTTCAACTACCGGAAATTCACGTAACTAAGCAGCACTACTATGACGATATCGGTTTGACACAACTGAACTCAAAATTTAATTTTAACTACACGACATAGAAAACGGCTTCAAGGAAAACAAATGTAGTTGCTATAGTAACTTAATAGCATACTATATTTTTTATTTTATTTAGTAAGTATATAATAACTGAAGTTGTTTTGAGTAACAAAGTCTAATCTCGTAATAGTAGTTTTCATAAGTTCCTCATAAATATCAGATATAAGACTGATCAGTAAATATGATGGCAAAGTAATGTGTGAGCTATATTATAGTAGATGCTTATCTATCGATTCAGTTTAGTACTATAAATCCAAGTTTAAACTCAACCATTAATGGCATTAACATATACAAAGTATATGATTCGTGTGTTTCTTGTTTCTAGGAAATTGAAAATTTATTTTAAAAAGATAGCTAAAAAACACGTACCGCTTCTTATTTCTTATAATCTTGAGAGCTACTTGTTTATTTGTTTTGTGATCCAAAGCCCTTATAACTTGACCGAAAGAACCTTTGCCGATTACTTCTAGAATTTCGTACCTATAGGCAATGTGATCGTGAAGAACCTGTAAAGAAAAAATAATCGATTAAAGAGACAAATAAATGGATCAAATTTATTGTCTGGTGAAAATGGACTTTGCCTAACAATAAATATTTTATTGTCTAGTAAAATCTAGTTTGTTTAACAATTATACACAAACCTTTCATCATATAGAATTTTTAAAATATGTTCTCATTCATCAATGTTATTTACCAGTTGAATAAACAGACTTTTAAGTTTCGGAAATTATAAATTTGTTCAATTTATAAATATAAGTGTCAGCTCTTTTAATTCTTTTCGTCATGATGGGTATGGAAAAAGGCTCATCCATTTATAGGTTCACCCAAACCAAAATGAATTTCGGATATGACAGATCAAGCTCTGGCCACACTGTTGAGAGATCGAGTCCGAGATATCCGAACCAACTCACTTATGAAAATTTCTAAGGTTCCTACCCGAACCCGAAACCGGATCCACAGACAGACTGATAACTGGATGTACAAACAATGAAGGTAAGTTTTAATTAATGTGCTATTAAAGATATTGGGTAATAACAGTGACTAGTCTTATTCATTTTGTTACGCCAACTTGACAAAAAGCAAAAATTGAGATTAATCATCATTACAAAAAATTCATTTGGTGATAAGACTATTCAGTCTTATTACCAAATGAATACCTTTGCTTTTGGTCAATGTTGACGTAACAAAATGAATTTTATAATCCCCAATTTTGATTTATTCTCAGACAACCATAGAATATCTATCTGAAAATAGCTAACAAAACACCTATCTATCAACTTTTTACATTTTTTCGTTGATTGCAAATTAAAATTATTACCCATAAAAACTTATTTCCTAAGATAGAATTGAAGCTTGTATAAAGTATTTATCTCCATATTATTTTGTGCATATCTTAATTGAAAAAATTCAAAATATAATATTATCTGCTGTTTTGAGGAATACAGTATTGAAGACATCTCACTCTGAGCAAAACTCAATTAAAGTGAGATTATTCTGAAAAGTTTTAGGTTTGTTACTTTTCTGAAATCGTCAGGTCCACATGCATGTTCACAATTTGCAACTTTTGTACAATTGAGCTTTTCTAAAAGCGAGAAGAACTCCCATCGCGAATACCCCTATGTGCTGGCTTGGCGCTCCGAAATCGCTCATGTGGATACACAGCTTAAAACTATTAGACCTGAACTGCATATTACCTGAAAACGGAAAATGATAACGAAAATTGAAAAATAGATTCAGTTTCGTTTCTGTTTAGCTAAACTCCACACGATCAGAAAATTGCACCCATTTCAGCACTTTTCAAAGCTAATTTTCCAAAATGAAGGATGCTTTTATGGCTTCGATGCCCGTATCGCTTGCAAAAAGTCCCATTTTTCTTTTAGTTTTTAATAATTAACAAAACATAGTTTGTGATTTTTGGGTTTTAGATTTAGACTGGTGAGATTTTGGGCGAGAATTTGCAAATTTCAACTAAAATAAGGTTATGACGTACAGTTGCTGAGAAAGAGCTGCGATCTCAAGATTAGAAGTTTTACAGAAGATAGTTTAAACAATTATGAGATATTATATAAAATCACCGTATATAAAATTGATTCAAACTATTTGTTAAATAATAGCACTAGTATTGTTTGCTGACGTATGACGTCACTTATAAAATGTTTTCATATTGGTGAAATCACAGCTGGAAAGATGATAGAAACGAAAAAGTTGACATTTTCCTGCTTTCAGGTGAGATTCTGTCGAAGTGAAAGTTGAAAATCCGGAAGTGGTTATTTCCGGTTTCAGTTTTCCGTTTCAATTGTATTTTCAGGTAATGTAAAATCCAAACCTTAGTCGAATACTATGAGCTAAAGCTATTATTTGGGATTCAAACTTCAAGTCAGTTCATAGCGATTTTCCGAAGTGGTTAGGATTTAAATTCTGGGTCAAGTGCACAATTAAAGAGAAGAATTTGCACACAATAGGAATTAAGTCATGGAGTTAATATGAATAAATTAACGAATTAAAACTAAATAAAAATATTCGTATTTAACAGACAAATTCCGTACAAAACATTCTAACCTTGATATAAGATCCATTTTCATCATCATAACCACAGTTTTGCGGACTACCTTCCTTGCCTTCGATCTTAATTGTTTCTAGTCCTAGATACCATATTTCTGGATATTGCTTCACTTCCGCTCTCTCGAAAGCATTTAAACGATTTGAATAATACTTTAGCACATCTGTATTAAGAAAAGTACGGCTTAGGCAATGAGATTTACTAAATATTTTCATAGGATGCATTTGCTTACCATTTGGCATCAGAGGAAGCTTCCTGCCGTAAGGGTCTTGATGATGGAAGTTTCGAGGAGTTGAACTTTTACTGTTTTGCTGCGGGCTGCCAGTTGCAGGCGAAACACATTCGGGAGTGGCCGAAGAATGATCACTACCTACGTTATAGCTGCTACGACTGCTACTGCCCAGCACCGGCAATGAGGTTATAACAGTTAACGTCCCCGAAACTTTATCCCCCGAACTGGAGGCGCTAGCTTTAGAGGAAGGTAATCTTTGAACGGAAATGCTAGGTAAACTAGTCGACTTGTCCAAACGAGAAAGTACATTATGACGGGACAGCCGTTGTGTTAATGAAGCGAGTGCCGCTACCGGACGAGATTTACTAACTTGAAATTGTTTGACGATGGCCCGGCCCAATTTAGCCATTGGATCGCGATGAGGCAGACTGACATGATCCTGAAAAAAAAAAAATATATCATCATTATATTTTGCGTTGTCTTGTCCCATTTTAATAAATGTATTTGACTTTTTAATTCACGAATGAATTATGCATAACCAAATACTAAACTTTGAATATTTTTTAGTTTAATAAAAAAAATCTAGAAGTTTAATATTTGGTTATATGTATGTATACTACAAACAATTTACAGACTATCACAATAAGTCTGATGTATCAAATTATTTTCGGAATTTGGTTTTGAAGTCTGAAAATCTGAGTATTCACTTTTACCGTAAAGAAAAAAAAAACAAACATAATAAATTAATCTATAAATAAAATATATAGAAAGTAGCATTTTTCCATCTTGAATAATACCGGAAAATATTAATGAAATGACCAGATAACCATCATTAAGGATATCAATGAGCTAATTGAAGAATCAAATTTTCATCGTTATTCAGTTTAAAAACATTATTCCTTTTGTTCTAATTGTTTATAGGTCATAGACATAAAATTACTGAAAGAAATTATAAAGTATAAATATAAAGAGTTTAAAGAAATTTAACAAAACTTATAGTAAAGGGCCTAATCAAATAAACAAGTGAAAAGTGCCCTAAACTAAACTGAATTTTTTATTTAGTATATTTGTTTTGGAGTTAAATCATAGTATATCAATTTTCAAATCTTAATCTTTTCGTTTCATAGAAATCGAAAAAAAACGTGATTTTCAGTCTTTGTACATTTTTCGTTTGTAATAATTTCATTTTTTATAAAGCTAAATTAAATTTTTATTAATTTTAAAAGTAATTTCTTTTGTTTTCAATTTCTATTTAACATTCACTTTTTTTTTTCCTTTGGTTTCTTAACTTGTACAAATTCCGAGAATGATTAATTTCGACAATATGATTTCATTTTATAAAATTTTCTCAAGTGAAGTGTATTTCACAAAAACAGAGTATCAAATTTTCATATCCTGAACGTATAAAACGAAATAAATCCAGCACTGCAATAGGATTCAGACAGCAGCAAGTTTCACGATTACAAAGAATTTAATAGATTTTGTTTTATAGGCAATGATGACTTTTATTAGTGATACTATGCATAATTCTATAAATTTCTTTTTAATTTACGGGAAACGGATAAACTACATACTCATTCATCTTCATTCATATTCTCAATACCTTAATACCTTGAGTAATACGTAAAAAAATTTAAAATATTAAAAATAAATTAATAATATAGAAATTATCGTATTTAGATGCGACTTTTATCCAAAAGAAAGCTCGAAAATTGCTGTCTTGTAAGTGAAGTTGTGATCTGTCATAGGTTGAACTTCCCAAACAGTCTTCCATAGGCTACAGAAAACCTCTACCTAGCCCAACTCCTGAATAAAGATGTTATTATATTAAACATATTATTATTAGCTACAGATAAGCAGCTTTTGCGTGTATTCATGTACAGTATTTTAATGGTAAATTTCATTAGTAAATGACTTATTTTTCTCTGATAAATAAGAATGTGCATTTTAATTTTACTTACTTGGTACTTTACAGTAAAAAATAATTTTTGGGGCAGAATACCAAAGGCGCGTGATTGCTTAAATTCACTAAATACTTTTACCTAAATACTGTGCTGAAATGGGAGTGCGTCATATATGACATAAAATACGGTAATTAAATACTATATTTTAAATAAAAAGAAATAATTCATTCAAAACAACCCAAAATTTTAAATTTTCTTTAGAATATAAACTATAATTTACATACGCTTCAATAACGTATAAAACACATGAACTTCTTCAAATGATTAATTAATTGGTCATGGATTCGCTCCCGACCGACAGGTTAACCAATGGAGTTTTTCGGAGTTTTTTTTTTACATATATAACACCTAAATAGGAGTCAGTTTCTCACAGAAGATCCTACCGGAAATTATCCCCTTTGCAAATCGCCCATAAGTTGTCGCCGTATCCGCTTTTGGTGGACGATGATTCATTAAATGATTGAAAATACTTTTATGTAGACGACATTGTCTTTGTCATTCCTTAGAACCTTAGTTCGCATTACAACAAAGTCGTGTAAAAGACAATTAATTATTCGGCCAATTATTATGTAATGTATCAGTGACCGATTTCATCCAATTATATCTTTCATTATATAATTTGGGAATATTTTCTTTAACTGCATCATCAATGTAAAAGTAGATGCAAAAAAAACAACGAGAAAATCAAATTTTTTTTGTTTCTTAATTAATTTCTTTTAAGCTATCCAGAAACTGCTAATATCGTATTTGAAATTTCGGAATCAGTATAGTCTTTAGTAGATTACTGTAAATTAGGATTTAACAATGCTAATCAGTTTTGTCAAATTAATGTCAAATTAATTAATGTTAAAATAAAGTTGAATTAACTTTTAAATTAAAAGCAATGTTCATTCAATTAATGCTAAAATAATTTATTATTAATTAACGAATAACTAATGTTTTAATTCAATGAAGAAAGTAATATAAAAATATTCTGGTTTAAATTAAACGTCATTTTTATTATATAACTTTATTTTTTAAATTAAAAAAAATCTTTTCTATCAGCAGTCAATAAAACCTGAAATGACGATCCTAAAGTCGTCATTAAAAAGATGATAAAAATTTCATTCTAAGTTTTAATTAACAGTTGAAAAATATTTTATTCTTATTTTATAAGCAAATAAAGTCCATAAATCTAACGCCTAATAGGAAATGGAATTTTTTTTATAATCAATTAAAACTTTAATGCTATTTATATTGTGTAATTTACAAAGAAAAGTTTAGCATAAACTCGAACATTAAAATAAGTGAAATAATACATGCAAAATGAATAAAGGAAAACCTCTTTGTAAATATAATACCGCTTTAATAATAACGATCGAAAACGCCTTTTTTTTCATCAGAGCCCACCAGTAGCCGAATAGACAAAATCACTGAACAGTGAGTGGTCCGAGTCTGATCCCCGGAAGGTGGGGATCAGACTTCGAATCACTCCCCACGTGGGGTTTTCTGGATTTTCTTCACGTGTCTAACATCCAAATAGAGACTATTTTCCCAAAGAAAGTCCTCCTTGTGGCACCCTTTTGGTAGATCATCCAGTTATTGTATTGCATATCCCATCAATCCAATTCAATTCTTTTTTCACAAATTTCTTTATACATTTGAAATGGCGTTGTTTACATTAGACTTGTTGTTATTATTTGATGTGTCATATTGATTTTTGTTGAAATACAATGTGAAATCTAAACCCAACAGAATATTCTACTTTGTATTAAAATTTCAATAATAATGTGACTCAAAACAGAAACTCTATGATTGCAATAAGCAGAACAATCTCTAACATACTTCATCTTCATAACTGGTCATTAGCTTCATTCTAGAGTTTCAACAACAAAATTGAGCTTGTTCTTGATTATTATAGAATTATGAACAAGTTGCATTGTTCTACGGAAACTATTAGAATTATCAAATTGCAATATGCTTCTTTAAAATATGCTTTAATAATTAATTACATTTATTTTGATAATTTCAAAACTAAAATATGTTTAATTCTCTCTTCAAAAGCTTATGGAAACAATAATTGATTCTCCATTTGAACAATATTTCTTTGAGCTAATATTCAAATGACGCCAATAGCACTTTTGATCCATCCACATTGAGTTTTGTAATCGCAAAGCACAATAATTTTTATTTATTTTTTTCTCTTGTTGCCTTCATAAAATTTAATTGTTGTGTTAAATCCAGTTCTTAATGAAGAACTTTTCCCTCGTTACATGTAATTAATTAACAATAATGTAATTAATAAAATAATGCGACGTTATGTATTCTCGTGTTGTGGTGTTATTGCATTACAGTTAAGAGATCGAGGATATGCGTTACGTAATTTTTTGATGAGTATGTGCGGCAGCATTACGAAGAGTTACAGGGGTAATTGAAAACATAAAAAACGTCACGTAATGCATGGACGATCACTACATCAAACTATGAAAATAAATTTCCACAAAATAAAAATAAAATTTACTTGATAAACTTTTCAAATCAGCAAAAACTACGCAAATTACTATAATTAATATCTTACATATTTGAATTAATAATAAATAACAGATTTTGTTTTATTATTATTTTGTTTAACAGACAATTTTTCATTTTTTTGCTTCTTATTTTATATTTCATTCAATTTTAAAATATTCTAAAACATACAAAGAGCTCATAATAAACTTTCAGTTTAATATCTTTATTTTTATGTTTATGAATATCTGTGCTGTTTGTATTTATGGAATATATCTACGTAGCGAGATAAAATAAGTGAAATAATGAAAAATGTATATTATATCGAACAAAATAAGTAGTAAATCACATATACAAGATTAAACTTACTTTTTATGATCATAAAAAACTCTTTCGGTTATTTTCAATCTAATGTTTAGTATTAGTTTTACAAAAATTTTGTATTGCTACACAGAACTATGCAAATTTCAAGATATTATAATTTCAATGTACAGTATTATGTAAATATAATTATAGATCAAAATAAATAAATAGTCATGAACAGATCTGGAAAATTTCTAATACAGCTATTAATTTAAACATTTGAAAATTAAATATTCACATAAAGTCAAACCTCCGAACGGACTCTGATGGGAACACAAAAAATGACTGTTGTTTGGGCTCACCAGTAGGCAAGCGGTTCCCTTTCCTGAACACTGGGAGTTCGATCGTGGGTTCGCGCATCACTCGGACGGGCCGGGTTTTCTCCACGTTTGTAACGCCTGAACTTGGGACCAGTTGCCCTTAATAAACATCTCCGGAAGGTATTATTCCCGCGCGTTACGTCCACCGTAATAAACGTATCCAATTACTAATACTAGCCAAAGAGCTTACACATTCCACGGGGCGAAATAGCCAGAGAAGCTCATGCCAAACTTGCTACTAAACAAACACTGTTTTTTTGGAGGTTTGACTATACTGAAATTTATTATGTTGGATATAAAAAAAT